GCTCCAGCCCCACTGGGCCCATGCGGGTTAGAGAAAGCTCCCGCCTGCAACGTCGGGCCCCAAATCCCAACAGCAGGCCCGGACGACGACGCAGGACCAGCCGTGTGCCGTCCCCCACTACTGGCCCTGATCCCCCTCCACCAGCACAATAAAGTTGGCCGTTAATGTCAGCACTGGAAGAGAGATTCAATGCTCGTTTATGGGTTTCCTCCTCCTCTCCCCTCCTGGAGGGGCAGCGGTAGGGGCTGGGCCCACAGGGTTGTCGTCTCCCTGGGGCTTTTGGCCTTCCCAGACCTCCCTCCTTGCGGGCTGGCCTTGGCCGGCTGCCCAGCGCCATGGCCGTGTGCTTGGGGCCTCGCCGGCCCCGCAGCCTGGTCAGTTTCCCCGGGGAAGCTCACACCCAGCCCCGGGATGGGGTGTCTCTGCCCCTGCCCCCGGGAGGGCAGTGTGGCCCACCAGGGCCCACTTGTCGCTGCCACCCATCTCCTGGCAATGTGGGCTACGCCTGCCCACCCAGCGTGGCCCTCGCAGCTCACTCCCCAACATGACATGCCCCGGCCCCAGCGACTTTTGACGCGCTTCTACTGTTTCGTTCTGAACAAGGCTCTAAGCAAGTCCCATCCTCGCTGCCTAGGTTGGATACCATCGTGGCAAAGCTACTTTTCCTTAAATACAATTTCAGCGTCACGTCTGTCTTTGTGACATGAAGATTTCTGTAGACTGTGTTGGCACAGTAGCCAAAGGGCTTTTCCCATTGCCCAGGTCCGAGTCCTGCTCCGTCACCCTCAAAGCAAAGAAGATCTTCCTCACATTCAGTCAGTATTCCCTGTGCTCCAGTTTGTGGCCGTTGCCTCTTGTCCTTTTGCCGGGCTCCTCTGAAAAGAGCCCGGCACCGTCCTCTTGACACCCGCCCTTTAGATATTTATAGGCTTTGATGAGATCCCAGCTCTGTCTTCTCTTCTCCAGCCTAAACAGGCCCAGGTCTCTCAGCCTTTCCTCATCAGAGAGATGGTCCAGTCCCTCGATCACCTTTGGAGCCCTGTGCCGGACTCTCTCCAGTAGTCCCTTGTCCTTCTGGAACTGGGGAGCCCCGAACTGGACACAGTCCTCCAGACGTGGCCTCACCAGGGGACAAGAGACGGGGGAGGATGACCTCCCTCGACCTGCTGGCCACGCTCTTCTTAATGCACCCCAGGATACCATTGGCCTTCTTGGCCACATGGGTGCATTGCTGGCAGCGGTAAACTCATTGTCCACCAGGACTCCCAGGTCTCTCTCTGCAGAGCTGCTTTCCAGCAGGACAAGCCCTAACCTGTAGTGCTGCAGGGGGTTTTTCCTCCCGAGGCGCGGGACCCTACGCTTGCCCTTGTTGAACTTCATTAGGTTCCTCTCCACACAACTCTCCGGCCTGTCCAGGTCTCGCTGAATGGTGGCACAGCCTTCTGGTGTGTCAGCCACTCCCCCCAGCTTGGTGACATGCCACACAAACTGTCCCCCAACATGATTGCTGCGGTACCAACTGAAGGCTTCCTTCTTGCAGCATAAGCCAAGAAATCCTTTTAAATGGAGATTGCAAGCACCCGGTAGGGACTTTCCTCCACAGGGTCCAGGGGAGTCGGAGCACTGCCTGTTCCAGAGGGCTTGAGTCCCGTCGTGTGCCCTTGAGGGAAAAAAAACCAAAACCTGTGCTCTACGGGAGGGTAAGACGGGGCCTGGGAAATGCCAGTCATCCAAAAGGGTTTCTCTGCTGTTGGAGACCAGCAAGTGCCTTTCTAGTGCAGGAAGGAGGAAAGAGTTGGTGGCGGAGTGACTGCTGACCAGCTCTGTGGAAGCTGGTGGAAAGCTAGAGGCGGAATCAGAGAATCATGGGGACCAAAGTGTGAAGGAAACCCTGTGGGGTGGCTGTCCAGGTTTGAACAAGCCTCTGCTCTTCAGGCAAACTACTGTGGTCTTACGGTGTGTGCATGGAGTGCCTTCCTGAGAGGCCTTGATGCCGCATGGAAGTTGATTCCTAGAAGTAGGGAGCCGCTGTCCTCTCTGAGGAAGGTGGGGGAACCCGGGAGACCCGGCGGCCTTTTGGGCCAACAAAGAGGTAATGTGGAAGGAAAGGAGCTCTGTCATTTCATGATCACTATACCCAAGATGGCATCAACCACTACGTCAGGCACAAGTTCTAAACAGTGGATTGACAGTGGTTTAATGGGCAGTTTAGATGATTAAATGATGATTTCAGTCAGGCCCACTTGTGGGCGATGCCTAAACAAAAGTACTGCTCACCCAGTCATAGTGGGGGCACCCATCACAGCTGGCAGGTTCACTAGTGGATTCCGTGGTGCTCGGTGAGGAAATGTCCCTGCTGCTGGGGCGCCCACCTGAGCCTGCAGCCTGGACTGCCTTCCCCTGGGGAGTCCTGCTGCCCCTGGACCAAAGCTTGTACTGCAGCACCGTTGCCACAGACCCCCTGGGACTGGTGGAACAGCTCCCTCAGCTGCCCTGTAGCTGGCCCAGGTACAGTAAGTTTCTGAGGGTAAATGGCCTCTGCTCTACACTTCCCTCCTCTTGGGTTTTCTTTGATTTCTCCATGAGACATCCTTGTAGGTCTTCAGGAAGGCAGCTAGCAAGGGAAGAACTGTATCTGGTAGATTGTTGTTGTATTTGCAGAGACAAGCAAACAGAGGCAGAAACGGAGAAATTCAGTTGCTTTCTAGAAGTGAATTAGCTCATGAGTCTGCAGCATGTGAGACTGTGTCCCCAAGTCTGGTGCTGAGATGGAAAGAGGGCCTGAGTTGCACGATGTTGTCATTTAAAGAGTGCCTGAGTTGCACGATGTTGTCATTTCCCCATGCCTTGGGAGAGGAGAGTGAGACCGAGAAGTTACTGTTTCCTAGGTAAAAGCCTTTGCATTTCTGTGACTCTGCTGTAAGAGTTACAGAGGAATAAAGCCCCCTGTAGTCTCCAGAAATGACCTGCTGGTGCTTGGGTGGCTCCGCAGTGTCCTGGGGCTCCCAGGCAGGGCCCCAAAAGGACAAGCTTCAGGGCAATAGAGCATTCTGCCCCCAGTGGCCCAGCGCAGCGGTCCTGTGGCTGCATCCTGCTGCCAGCCCCAGCTCTGAGAGAGATCCAATGGGTTATCCCTGCTCCGAGACCAGAGCCGAAAGGCCAGCACCCTGGGAAGCTGCCTGTCGCAGCCCTGTGAAAGGCTCTTGCCATGCAAGGGAAGCTCCAGAGTTCTCTGAGCACCTCAGCTATTAGCAAATGTCCTCGAAGCTGTCTCAGAACAGCAGGCTGTGGGGCCAGAGAGGACCCAAGCTCACGGCCATGGCGCTGGGCAGCCAGCCAAGGCCAGCCCGCAAGGAGGGAGGGCTGGGAAGGCCAAAAGCCCCAGGGAGACGACAACCCTATGGGTACCGCTGCCCCTCCAGGAGGGGAGAGGAGGAGGAAGCCGATAAACGAGTGTGGAATATCCCAGTGCTGAGATTAACGGCCAACTTTATTGTGCTGTTGGAGGGGGAACAGGGCCAATACCAGGGGACAGCGCACGGCTGGTCCTGCGTCATTGTCCAGGCTGGTTGTAGGGAATTTGCTCTGCAAGGGGAACTGAACAACGGTGAGGATGATAATCCTCCCAGCTTGGAGGTGTCATTGAGGCCTAGTCGGACCACCCCCCGAATCAAAACTGCCTTGGTAAAGAACAAAAGACGGGTCATTGTAATAGGGGACTCAATTCTGAAGGGAACGGAAAGCCCAATGTGTCCGGACCCTCTATATAGGGAAGTTTGCTGCCTCCCTGGGGCCTGGGTTAACAATGTTAAGAAGAAGCTTCCTTCCCTGATGCAGCAATCGGATTATTATCCCTTTTAGTTTTTCAGGTAGGCAGCGATGATGCAGTGAGAAGAACGCCGAGGGCAATGAAGAAAGATTTCAGGGCCTTAGGACGACTGATTAAGGGATCAGGAGCACAAACCTTGTTCTTCTCTATCCCTCCAGTTGCTGGGAATGATGAGGGGGTAAACAGGCAGAGCCAGCAGGTCAGTAACTGGCCTCGAACCTGGTGTTACTGGCAGGGTTTTGGGTTCTTTGATCACGGCCTGATTTACAGAACACCAGGCCTGCTGATAGCAGATGGGAAAAGCCTGTCTTGCAGGGGTGAAAGGGTTCTTGGACTAGAGTTAGCAGGGCTCGTTGAGAGAGCTTTAAACTATATTCAAAGGGGGATGGGCATGTAACCGGGCTCGCTAGAGAGGCGCCTGGCTGTAGTAGCTCAGCAACTGTGGGGCAAAGTGCTAGTATTTTTTGAGAATCGGAAGGTCCACCACCCCTCACGGGGAAAAACTACACACTCGTTGGCCTTTCTGAAATGCCTATACACCAATGCGTGCAGCATGGGGAATAAATAGGAAGAGTTAGAGATCTGCGTGCGGTCACAGGGCCACGATCTCATTGCGATTACTAAGACGTGGTGGGATAGCTCGCATGACTGGAATGCTGTCATGGAGGGCTATGTTCTCTTTAGGAAAGACAGGCCAGCAAGGTGAGGTGGTGGAGTTGCTCTTTATGTGAGAGAGCAACTGGAATGTATGAGCTCTCCCTGGGGGCGGGTGAAGAGCAAGTTGAGAGCTTGTGGGTAAGGGTCAATCGGCAGGGTAATATGAGAGACACTGTTGTGGGTGTCTATTACAGGCCACCTGATCAGGATGGGGAAGTTGATGAGGCCTTCTACAGACAGGTGAAAATCGCCTCACAATCGTAGGCCTTGTTTTCTCATGGGGGATTTCAACTACCTTGATATCTGCTGGGAAGGCTGCACAGCTGGGCGTGTACAGCCCAGTAGGTTCCTCCAGTGCATTGATGATAGCTTTTTGACTCAGGTGGTGGAGGAGCCCACAAGGATATGTGTACTACTGGACCTAGTACTGACAAACAAAGAGGGACTGGTGGAGGACATTAAGGTTGGGGGCAGACTTGGCTGTAGTGATCATGAGAAGATAGAGTTCAGGATTAAGTGCAGTATACACAAAATGACAAGTAGAGTTGAAACCTTAAACTTCAGGAGGACTAACTTTGATTGCTTCAAGGAATTGCTTGGACAAATCCCATGGGAGAGGGCTCTAGAGGGTAAGGGGGCTCAAGAGAGCTGGCTGATATTTAAGCATCACTTCCTCCAAGCTCAGGACTGGGGCATCCCTAAGAGCAAGGGAAGAAGCAGACCTGCATGGCTGAGCAGGGAGCTTCTGAAAAAGCTCAGGTGGAAGAAGGGAGTTTACAGTATGTGGAAGAAGGGGCTGACTGCTTGGGACAAGTATAAGAATGCTGTCAGGGTATGCAGGGATGAAACAA